ACTTCTGGCTGTGACAGACATGAATTACTTGCTTGTGTTTGAAGTTGTATATCAGGATCGTGATCATGGTGAAGCACTTTCTCTTGGAGGTATGGGTTTTCCAAAAATGGCTGATTCGGTTTGGTTTGATTGACATGAAGCTTACTCATTACTTTCTAGGTGGCCAACTTGTTAATCTACCCACCGGATGGTATCCTTCCTAAGTTTATCAAGATGATCTCGGTATGCATTTCCTCTCCTCTTGAGTATCTCTTTAATCTGTTATTCTTCGTGCAGAAGTTCCCAAAAAGTGGAGACATGACCCTGCTATTCCGCTAAAAAAGAAGTCTCCTTCTCATGATCCTCCAGTTATAGGCCTATCGGTATGGTATCGCTTTTCTGCCGAGTTTTTGAAAATGTGATCAAAAAGAGAATAGAATTTCATCTCAAGGAATCTTTCAATGAATGGAGAGAATGGACTATCGCCAGGGATCCTAAGCACTGTATTGAAGTTATTCATCTGGACTTCCAAAAAGCATTTAGCAAGGTTCCGCATGATCTATTGCACCTAAAATTTGAGCACGATAGTATTCACCAGTTGGATCAGAGCTTTACTATCTCAGCGTACGTTTCAGATCTTTTTGATGGAGAGTCGTCTACTTTTAGGCGTGTACGTTCTGGAGTACCTCAAGGTGTTCTTCACCAAAGGTGATAGAACACCTTTAGATCAGTTTATATAACGATAACTTCATGAGAAGGAGACTTCTTCTTCAGCGGAATAACAGGGCATGTCTCCACTTTTTGGGAACTTCTGCACGAAGAATATCAGATTAAAGGGATACTCAAGAGGAGAGGAAATGCATACCGAGATCAGTTTGATATAACGATAGTCCATTCATTCCATTCATTGAGAGATTCCAACATTTGAGTTCAGTATTTATGCGTGTGATGTGCCTGGAGTTGTTGTTGGTGACGGAATCAAAAGTAAAATATTTGCCGACGATATAAATATTTAGCGAGCCCGTTTCCACTTTACAGGCAACTATTGGTGCAGTACTTCAATGGTCTTCTTGTTGGAAGCTTCCTCTTTCGTCCGCAAAAAATCGAAAATACTTCACCTTGGTCGTAACAACCCTCTCACGACGTACTCTATACGTGGCGAACTTCTTGTCAAAACCGACACCGTTCGCGATTTAGGCTTCCGAATTGATAAAAATCTTTCCTTCAAAAAGCATAGTTGATTTATCGTCAACAATGCTAGGGTCAGGCCTTTTCAGTTGTTCAAGTTTTTTGTTCTATTGATCCTCCTACTGAAGCCCATAAATCAGAAGGGAAACCTATGCGAGAATATGGCATATGTGTTTTTTCCCCCACACAATGAAACACTAATGGGTGAATAGCTTGGAAAGAGTTCAGCATATTTTCACAAGAAAGGTATTTATTCGTTCTCTCGATTTCGCGTGTAGTAGTATTCCCGTGGTGCGATTCGAAATACGATACTGAAGCTCGAATGCCTTACCATTGGAAGAAAGCATAATGATTTTCACATGGTCTATAAAATACTTCATGGTCTAGTGGATCTGGAATTGTGTGACTTATTTCTTCTGAATCCTCCTAGAAGAGGCCAATACTCAAGATTGGCAACCCGAGTCCGTTTTGCGGCGCAGCTTTCCACGTTCTGGGAAGGCTATGAATACACGAAATTGAGTAAAAAGATGCAGGTTCCATGTTGTTTTCGGGTTTCAAAAGAGTTGTTAACCGTCATCTTGACTGAGAAAACTTTTAGCGATCCATTGTATTGTTTGTGCTGTGCTCTTTCATTTTCTCTATCTTTCTTTGAATTCTATAATACCTTAGTTGCTATATGGGAGTAGTTCTGGCATGTTGTAAACATTACTTGGTTTTACAGTCATCTCTGAATTGCATTTATTGAATGACATGTGCTCGCGCATGATAATGAACAAACTTAAACTAACTCTGCGGGTTCCCAGAGGATGGTTAGAAGACTCCTTGCACTCCTATAACGCACTTGCTTTACGTGCAAGTTTGCACGGCACTATTCTGTTCGGAAATTGAACTGTTGTTATGAAACTATGCTTTAGAATATCCTCAGACAACACATATTGAAATCAAGTAAAAGATAAGGTGAGGCTACGGTAGTTGCTCTTTGTACGCAATGGCAGACTGCTGCCGTGAGCGGAAATAAATAGCGACTACGCACCCCAACCTGCCATGTTTTTTGATTGTGTGCCATTCTGCAGTATTTTTGATAGTTTAGTTATTTATTTTCTGACATTGGATTGTTAACAAAGATTTATAAGTAGCGAATGGCTTAATCCAATCATCCCATTCCGTGGAAGTTCATCAGAGTTTTCTGCTGATGATTTGCAAAAAGTTCCACAACCTTGTCCTTTCCCTTCGTCTGCTACGAATTGTCTTGCCTTTAATAATATGCGATGTCCAAACACTCGATAACATAAATTTAATTCGGAAGTTCTGAATTTTTGAGTTGAAGTTGTGGGGTTGTTTTCATAATATTTATACACAATTTTGCCGTACAGGTTTGTTATGATGAAACCGCTTTATTAGGTCGACGTTTCGAACAACTCGTCGTCTTCAAGGACCTGAAAGTAGTTCGGAGCTCCTGACCTGTGACTTACCCGACCAAGCGCCCAAACACGCTAGGCCATTTTTTGGTGTTCAAGTTTCTGGGAGTTGTTGCAACTGGCCTAGCGTGTTTGGGCGCTTGGTCGGGTAAGTCACAGGTCAGGAGCTCCGAACTACTTTCAGGTCCCTGAAGACGACGAGTTCTTCGAAACGTCGATCTAATAAAGCGGTTTCATCATAACAAACCTGTACGGCAAAACTGTGTATAAACATTATGTGACGTGCCCAGGTTTCAAGAACCGAACATGGAAACTACTACGCCATGGGTCGTTTTCATTTGCAGTAGCGCTCAAAAGTATTTCACCAAATGGTTTTTCGGTCGTACTTTTCAGTCGTAACTCCTTTCCTGCTGGATCTAATCATGCGAAATTTCACTATGTGTAGCATGGGAGTACTGTGAATATTTGTCACTTTTAACCTGCAATCTGTTCATATTCCAGATATCACAAAAAGCTTGAACAAAAAATCAACTTGAAATACGAAGGGTAGCCCTTCTAGAATTTCTTTCCTTTTTGCCCTATCTAAAGTGTACGAGCGCTATTGCTTAACCCGGAAGTGAAGAAAAACGTACATAACGCTCGAATAACTGCAGACGTCACAAACTTGCTTTCAGCATAGTCTGCCAACGCCTTCCCTTTAGATGTGGATATTGTTGTTGTGTGGTCAATTAGTGTTGGATTGTGTAGAATATGCTTAACATATCAAAATTTCATGCGATTTGCTCCTCTGAGAAAAAAAAATTACAGCCGAAAAGGTTTGGCCGAATACTTTTGAGCGCTAGTGTATATTTTATCTGTGTAGAATGCCACATCGTTGAGGTTATATGCTTCTTAGTCTCTACAAATAAACAAGATGTTCTTCATTCTAAACATTGAGTTCTGGAACACCACACATGGGCAGGCAAATACTCAGCCTAACTTTCAAATGTTGTGCATGCTTCTACTCATACAGCTATCACGAATTTGCGTGGGAATTTTTATAGTCGTTTAAGTATAACAACTTGGATAGCTCCTTGTTCAGTTCAGTACAACCGTAGGAGGCCTTACGGAGTCAATAGGGTGTTTATGTCGTGCGGCGATCCGTATAGTCGAGCAGCAGCTTCTCTTAGATGGTTTAAAAACTGATACACCTGGGAAAGGGAACGACATCCGTTCGTGCTCGTGGTAGGAAAAGCATGTTTCTCGGGCGAAACGGCATCTCTCACTTGAAAACCTGGTGGGCAGTTAGGAAATTCACGCGTAATGCAGCTCCATGACTTGAGCAAGTCAATAAAACAAATCTGTTATAAAAGCAAGGCCAATGAATGGTTTTCAAAACCAGGTTTGGATATCGTCGAGGGTGTACCGAATAACCGAGCACGGCCTCAAAAGCGTGGCCGTTGATTGGTTTACAAAACCAGGTTTGGATATCGTCTAGGGTGTACTGAATAACCGAACTCGGGCTCCAGCACTTCCATTTCGTGCTAATATATAACGACATTCGAAGCCTTCATGTAATGCGATTGTTGGCTAACTGAATTTTTCAAAACAATAGAATCAAAGCAGAGTTAAAAGATGTCACTTAGCAGGCACCTTAGTCAATGTGTTAGGTTGGAGGTTGACAATCGTTTTCTCTTTCGAGCCGAATTCTTGCATACTTATGTAAATATACGTATCTTGTTCTACTTTCGTGCTAATGTATAACGACATTCGAAGCCTTCATGTAATGCGACTCTTGGCTAACTAAATTTTTCAAAGCAGTAGAGTCAAAGCAGAGTTAAAAGATGTCACTTAGCAGGCACCTTAGTCAATGTGTTAGGTTGAAGGTTCATAATCGTTTTCTCTTTCGATCCAATTTCTTGCATACATATGTGAATATCCGTATCTTGTTCTACTTCTTATTCTTCTTCCGCAAGTGTTATTCCCGTGCCGTCGCAGGGTGCGCTGTTCTTGTCAGTCATCTCCTTACCTTCTATCTGCGGCATCTTCTACCGTTACTTCAGCTTCGGCGAGGTTCTTTTTGATCAGGTCCCACCTCTTCTGTGAGACTGCTATCATGGTTGCTCTTCTTGAGCCTCCCCCTCCCCCTTCAGTTCATTAGCTTAGCTCAGTTTTCGACTTGTCTCCCGGAAAGGTGGAGTCTGACGTCGGCTTTTTCATGACTGCGTCTACATCATTGTCATGCCCAATAGGTGACCAACCAACTTGGATAAATGGAAAAATCCATCAGCATGTCCTCTTAACCTGTGATGGTCTTCTTTTGTGTTCATGTTTCTAAGCCTGTACTTCCTAGTTATTTAACATAAGTTCACATATCTATCAGATTGAGTTGCATCATTTTTAGGCCCATCATTCACACAAGCTTCTAGTCGCAGGATGTCCGGTCAAGATGATGGTTCTTCAAAAAAGAACATTAAAGATCCCGATGCTCTAAGTGAACTGCTTGACGATGCTCTGAAAGGGTTTTCGGAGTAAGTATGTTTTTGGATGTCATTGTAGTCCATTAGTGTTAAGCGGAATTCGACAAAAATAGTGTTCACATTATAGACGCCCACGAACCACTGATGATGAGTTGGATGAGATTATGGCCGCGCATGACCAGGCAGCTGCTCAGAAGGCTGCTGGTGACTTTCAACAGATGCTCCAGCAAATGGTGAAAGTTCAGGAGGTAGAGAATATCTTTGACTTTCATCTTCCATGACTACTCAAGATGTGTTTAGACTATTAATTAACTAAACGAAAACGATTATTCTGATACTGCTGTTGGTGAATATTAGAGCATTACCGCTTACCTTCCCTGGAACCAGCACTGGTGATATTGTTTGATTTCAGGTGGCATTTATTTTAGGAAGCTTTGCGTCAAGCTGAAACTACTGGACAGCAGGTCACCGAAGTCGACAAGGAAGCTCAAGACATGATTGAGGCCATGAAAGCGCTCATGGAAAGTAGCGGAAAAGTTCGTGACCTTCCTCTTTTGTCTTCATTTTGTGAAATTTTTCTTTTTATATCTGCGGTTCAGTTGGTACGGGATATCACGTTTTCTTTTCAATAGCTATGATGAGTTAGGTATTGGATGTAATATACTTTGGGTTCAAGCTCAAGAATGTTCTTGTATTATAAGCCTATTTGATACGACGCGCTGAGTTCGTCTATTTGCTTCGAGCACGAATAGTTATCAGGCCGTATATCATATGAATCGTTGTATTTCAGATTGCTAATGCCACGAATCATAACGACTTTCTAGCTGGTCTTGATATGTTGAAGGGACCAGATTCTCCAATGGAGCCTTTCATGTCAATGATTCTTCAGGTACAAGTTTCAGTTTTCATAACTAATACATTCAATTTTGTGTAAAGTGAGATAACCCTGTGTTGTCTGTCAAGCTGTAGGTTGCTGAGGTATGTGGAAAAATGAAGGTTGGAAGTCGGGAGGAACGCACCATGCATTAGCTGCGGTGACAATTGCTGGATTCTTAGAATGCTGATATAGTTTTTGGAAATGAATCGAATCCTTCTTGTGCCCCACTTCGCATCAGAAATTTCTTTATGATTAGCATTTTTTATAAATAGTGTTACATTATTTCGATTACACTTTAGCGTAACTTTTGGTAAACAAAGTATTATTGATGTCTTACATACTCGATTCAGACGTTAGCATCCAAAGCTGTGATGTATCCCCCTTTGAAAGAGATTCATGATAATTATCCTGGGTTCTTCAAAGAACATGGAGCATCACTCGACAATGAGACTCGGCAGCGATACGAAAAGCAGTATGAGGTGGGTCTTTATCGAGGTGTTCTTTGCTCCTTTTTTTCTCTAAGTTCATGACTTAAAACATGAGCCATGGTTTTGATTTTTCTTTTTTTTTCAGTTAGAAGTCGTTTTTTTCTTTGTTTCTCGGGTTCTCTTAACTTTCTTTTCTTCGCTTGAAGACGGCATTGTTTTGGTGTAGTAGTAGTTCCTATGAAGTTTGGGTTGATTGCATTCCTTAGGAATTGTAACGTATAGCAGTGATTATGTAGCTACTAAATAATTTGAATTCTGTGGCCTATTTCGGCGTAGCTGTCTCCGTCTGCGGCTGAGCTGCGTTCCCATTCATCTTTTAACAGTCAGATCGTCACGCTTAAGTTGTCGTCCTTTGTTTACTGTGGCAAAGTCGTCATGGTCGGTTGAGTCTTCATCCCTTTTCGGAACAAGATACATTTCTGATGACAAAAATTGCAAAAGAGGCATGCCTGGAATGGCGCGGGCACTATTGGTGCAAAAAGGAAGTAAGTTCAGCATAACAAGAGCAATGTGTAGTTAAGTAATAGAATATACATTGATTCAACTAACGCTTATGATCGCGAAGTCTCTATCTATTGCTGTTGATCTTAGCAGAACCAGTCGTTCGAGGGATATACTCTTACACTCCATCGGATTTTTGATTCTGCGCGATTTTTTCATGACCTAGCAACCTCTTTAACCGTATTAAGTGGTACTTGTTAACGATGGTAAGTGGTGGGAAACAATCATCATCAGGAACCTTATTCATGACCATCCAATCCTTGATGCATAGCGGGACATAATCTAATAGCAAGAAATAAGCCACGTTGCAAAGTTCTATTCTGCTTATATGCCGCTGATTTCGATCAGTCCTTATAATCATTTTGTCATTATCAAACAGTTTTACCATTCCGTTTAATTGAATGCATTGTATCAAAGTATCATCGCAAATACGAGGGAGCCCCCATCAACAGTTTACATTTTCCGTTACCCATTATCGTCGATCCAGATGCA